ATTACGTAACCATCACATACTGTACATTACGTAAGCATCACATATTGTACATTACGTAACCATCACATATTGTACATTACGTAAGCATCACATATTGTACATTACGTAACCATCACATATTGTACATTACGTAACCATTACATATTGTACATTACGTAACCATCACATATTGTACATTACGTAACCACCATATAATATTGTACATTACGTAACCACCATCACATATTGTACATTACGTAACCGCCACATATTGTACATTACGTAACCGTCACATATTGTACATTACGTAACCATCACATATTGTACATTACGTAACCATCACATATTGTACATTACGTAACCATCACATATTGTACATTACGTACAGCCACATATTGTACATTACGTAACCATCACATATTGTACATTACGTAACATCACATATTGTACATTACGTAACCGCCACATATTGTACATTACGTAACCATCACATATTGTACATTACGTAACCAGTCCACATATTGTACATTACGTAACCATCACATATTGTACATTACGTAACCACCACATATTGTACATTACGTAACCATCACATATTGTACATTACGTAACCATCACATATTGTACATTACGTAACCACCACATATTGTACATTACGTAACCATCACATATTGTACATTACGTAACCATCACATATTGTACATTACGTAAGCATCACATATTGTACATTACGTAACGATAGCATATTGTACATTACGTAACCATCACATATTGTACATTACGTAACCATCACATATTGTACATTACGTAACCATCACATATTGTACATTACGTAACCATTACATATTGTACATTACGTAACCATCACATATTGTACATTACGTAACCATCACATATTGTACATTACGTAACCGCCACATATTGTACATTACGTAACCATCACATATTGTACATTACGTAACCGCCACATATTGTACATTACGTAACCGCCACATATTGTACATTACGTAACCATCACATATTGTACATTACGTAAGCATCACATATTGTACATTACGTAACGAACGACACAGTATTGTAACATTACAGGCTCGACTTTCAACGGTGGCCCGGGTGCGAAAATTTTTTCCCACGAAGATTCCGCGGACCACCACGATAGTGTTTTGGTAATAATGGTGCGTATAAGACAGACCTGGTTGAATTATAGTTAGTGCTTAGGGTCGGTTCGGGTTATGGTTAGGGTTAGGTAAGTTGTATAAATTAGCATGTTGCTTTGAGACAGTCGAGTGAATTCGAGTGCGCTGACTTGGCTGGGTCCGGAACTCCCGTGGAAAAAAAATTCGTCGGCCCCGGGTGCCAATGCCACCTGAAACGGCGTCGGGCCCACCTGAAACATGTCGGTTGGTGCCCGGGCTGGCCAACCAATAAAAATAAGGCTGTGGCACGCGCCCGCGCCGACGAAGGAGCCGCAGGCTACGCGTCCAACACCATCTCACACAGAACTTCTTACAACACGTACACGCCATGATTGCGCAAGGGGACGCTCTGCTGATTGGCCGTGTGTGTGTGTGTGACGTGTGTGTGCGTTGCGTCGCGCGTGTGCATCGTGTACGTGGTGTGTGTGTGTGCGTGTGCCCGTGGCGCGTGTGTGTGTGTGTGTGCGCGTGTGCCGCGTGCGCGCGTGTGTGTGTGTACGTGTGTTACTGGAAGCAGATTCTGAAATGTGAATCGACAACAAGAAACAATGACTTTACCTTGGCTAAAATCAAAAAAGTAGTGC